AAGGATGGTCCTCAAGCAGTGGTGGTCAAACACCTCCAGTTGCCGCTCGTCCTCCACGCCCACAGTACAGCATCCACAATCATAGACGAGGACAGACCGGACAGATGTACGGTACACGCGAATCTTAGTGGCGATGGAGAGGCAGCGTCAGATCCATTGGCATTTTCTAAGGCTTGAGAAAACTCGTCAGGCAGCACCAATTCGGGAAACAATGTCATCCTTACTCTGACCATTCGGCACCAGCCTCGCCCCGAGATAGTTAGAACTGTCTACTTCTTCAAGTTGACAGCCACCAATCCCGAGGGCTGCCCTCTCCTGGTCAGGGATGCAGCTTGAAGACACTTGAGCCTCTCCGGCGTTTATAGATAAAGCGACCGATTCAGAGACCTTGTTCACCCGTGACACCATAGACTGCAGATCACCAAAATTTGAAGCAAGTAAGGCAATATCATCAGCGCAGTCAAGATCAGTCAGTCGGTTTCCGGGCGCAAATCCAGCGCCGTAACCTTCGTGTAAGGACCCTCTGAGAATCCAGTCAATAGCGTAGTTGAACAGAATGGGCGACAGGATACAACCCTGACGAACGCCAGACCGAATACCGAACGGTTGGGCAAGATTGTTGCGGACCAGGACTCTCGCAAAAATCGTGCGATAATAGGCTTTGATCATGGCGATGATTTTTGCCGATACACCATTTAATGCCATTATCCGCCACAGGGACTCAGGATGGACGCAATCGAACGCGGTAGCAAAGTCGATGAAGCAAACGGCCGTCGGTTGTTGGTAGCTATGGCGAAATTGGAGAATGCGCCTCAGGGTGAATATCTGGTCTATGCATCCACGTCCAGCACGAAATCCTAGAGTCACGGACAGCCTGGAATCGCTGAGAGGGAAAAAAGCGAAGATTTTCACAGCAACGTCAATGAGGCTTATGTCGCGGTAGTTCTTGCATGCCGCCCTATCTCTCTTCTTGAGGATAAGTACAAGGAAGCCCGAGCCTCAGTCATCAGGAGCAACCTCGTCTCTCCACGCTTGTTTAATCATCTCATGGAGCTAGGGCGCCAGAGTTTTGACACAAGACTTGTAGATTTCAGCGGGTATAACTTCGTCTCCGGGTGCTTTGTTGTCGCGTAGTTTTCGTATGGCATCGGCGACCTCTCCTTCAGAAGGGGGTCGCATGGCACTGCACAGATTGGAGAGGGAAGAAACTCCGCTGAAGAGGAGAGCAAGGGCGTGGTGAGTTGGATATCGAAGTTGCGGTGGTGCTCGAAGTGCTTACGACAGCGTTCGACTTTGGCCGAGTTGTCAACAATAAAGCCGCCATTCACGTCGCGAACAGTCACTCAGTGTAGAGGACTTGTCACTAACTTGGCGGATAAGTTGGTAGAGTTTTCGAGTGTCACCAACGTTCGAGGCCTGTTCCATTGAGGTCGCAATTTCAGCCCAATATTGCTTCCGGTCATTCCCGGCCGACTTTGCCGTCATCTTTCGAAGTTGGCAAAAGGAATAATCATTACGGGACCTGGTTCGAGTCATCTGAGCAGACAACCGCGGGGTTTTTCCGCTGATCCAGTCACTGCGGTGTTGTTGGACACATTCAATGATATTCTCAGATGCCCTACAGATTGACTGTTTCAGTGGCAACCACTGGGTAATGCCTTCTCCGTCGGCTTGGGTCGTAAAACAGGACCGGACTTCCCTGCTTAGGGCCTCGGCAGTGCTGGTCTGCCGGATTTTTGCGACATCGAGGGGTCTGGGACGTAATTTTTTTGGCGCGGATGGGAAGTAAGCCCTCAAGCGTGTGCGAACGAGGACATGGTCCGACCCATGGGCATTACCAGTCTCGACACCACGCATCGATCCGCTATCGTAAACCCAGCTGCGGAACCTTCAGCTGACTAATATGTAGTCAGTCTGACTGGCCGTATGACCATTGTTTGAATACCAGGTCAGATGTTTTTTGCAAGGATGGAAGTATGTGTTGGTGACAAGCAGTCGGTTTCGATCGGCGAAGTTCAGCAAGCTCTCGCCACATTTACATCGGGAACCAGGCTCAGAGCCGCCAAGATGGGACAGTATGTCCACCTTGGCTTCGGACATCAGACAAGGGATACTCTCACTTAGTGTATGTACCTTCTAACGTACACCGGAGTTGGTAGTGTACTCTGGCATAGATGGCACACTGGTTATTCCTAAGCAAAAAGGCTAATTGCGAGCAATTCAGGGTAGGGGCACTAAAACGACTAGGAGCGGCGTATTTGTTGTGAGGATTTACTATGGTCCGCAGGATATCGTCTTGCAGTGCCAAGGAATCACGGGTTATAGCCGCGAGGTTGCAAGGCATGGCGAGTGGGCTCCTATCAGTATCCGTGACGCACCGAAACGAGTACTTCTTAAGAAAATCATGATGTTGATACACATGAAGGTTGCAGAAGGTGTACCCTTCGTGGGGAGTGCGTACATGAACAAAGGAAAACTGTGAGTGCGGGTGCAGATTAGGAAATGTCGGAGAGTGCGGACGTAATTTTCACCCCAAGAGTAGGAACACAGTAGGAGTTTCACCATTCCTGTCGTGCAGTATTGGACTCACTTCTGGCTTTCCTCCGAGTTTAATGCATTTAAACTACCTAGGAATACTATAAATACGGCCTGGGTTGAAGACTGACAGCCCATGTGGCATTCACTACACCGTCGTCATCAGCACTGCATCCCGTCGGCAGCCGATTGTCGTCCATGAGCAGCCGTCTCCCGCGCAAGTACATGCAGCAGTGGCAAGACGTTAAGGAATTTGACGGACGGGAGGCACTGGAGTCAAGGATATTATTATTGCGTTCTGGTTTCCCAGCCTTACGCGACGTACCGGTTAACAGTTTGCATAAAAACTGTTGTTTATTCGCTTTCACAAGCCTGTTCACTCAGCATACCGAGCAGTTGTCATAACGTCGAAGTCTGCTTAGACACTTCCATAATTCCTTCCTACACTTGTACGGTGTGGGACAATTGGTGTTGAATGTTCATGGTGGTATAAATATCCCCGACGACTTCAGACGTCGGCCGACGGACATCTTGTTATTTCTATTTGAAAGTTATCTGGGTTGGTTGAAAAGGCTCTCGTGAAAATCATGTAGACCTCAACAACAAATAGTTTGTCGTTTAGGAACCATGTCTCCACCCACAGGAAACGCGGTGTACAGAAAAGAGCACCCTTACACAAAAACATTGCGATTGGCGGCGTCAAATAAGTGCTTTGGGCTGATTATCAAAAGGCTGTGCTAAGTCCCGAAAAGTGCCTTAACTATGCAATCCTGTCATCCTGTTGCCCTCTCATAACTGACGTGCACATGTCTTCATGGTGACCTTTACAGAGAACCCTGAAATCAGACAGCGCACGCGTAAGGGGTCTGAAAAGTGCGGTGGGCTATCATAAACAGATTCAGTTAGAGCCGACTGACATGCTAATCCAAATCTTCTTGGATCATACATTACAGATGACACACTACGAAGTCCAGCACGATTATCGGTTACACCGAATTCCGCAATAACCAAATACTAAGCATAGGTTGCTTCCGCGACAGAAGTTGTACGTCACCCTTAATGTGGCAATAGTACGATCACCTTGACCTTAGTCGGGAAGTTCCTCGACGGATGGTCAGCGTGGTAGATAAATCAATTACCGTAAAGTTCGGTGTGTTCTCTAACTCGACATGAACGCAACCGTTTGGGAGTATTAAACTCAGGCTTCCTCCATCGCACAACCACCACGCCCTGACGGTCACATTGTCAGGAAAGGTTGTTGAGTAGGTCCACATACGATGCCCAGTTCCGATAGACATAATGGAATACAGGACGGGTGGCCGACGGGTCTCAAAGGGTAGTTACTTGGGTCCTAAACAGGATGCCAATGTGTCTTTTGGCTCCAAAAGTGGCATAACAGAGGATCCCGTCATTTTACATCCTGTGGCGGACATTGTTCAATCCGAATCCTCTCCTCAAGCAAACGTCAACCACGCGTTTTATTGTCAAAATACTTTCCCAAGTGCACTCCCTGTCCCGAATTGGTGACACACATGGCGCCAGAGTCTTCGGAGGAATGTTAGGAGTTGTTATTGTTTGATATTTAATAAGTCAGCTTAACTTTGCCGGCGACAGGAGGAAGTGCGGTTTCCCCGCGACGCCCAACTACCCTACTTAGTCGCATGACTTCTCCAGATGGCTTCAACATGTAAAATACCCGGAGACCGAAAAAACGCTGATTTCGATAGTGCAGCGTGAAAAACCTTTAAGAAGTCAAACAATGTTCCCGCCAGTAGAGTAGAGTAACCGGAAAGGTTACATACGTCAGGTGGTTTATCCATGAAGGAATTGTGTTAACCAAACTGCTTGTACTCTTGAAATGGGGAGGGGCATACAGCAGAAATACCGTGCATGATCTCGATATCAACCAGGCGCGTTTACCACAACTGCGGACAAGTGGGGAGTTTTGGGAGCGGACATAGAGCTGCATAGAGCAAAATGACGCTGACATGTAGTTGGCCGGTTAAGGATATATTGTCATCATAATGACATGCACAGGCTGGAAATGTATCCGCGTTACGCCGGCACTTTTCAACTAGGGTGTAATGGTGAGGCCTACATGGAAAAATCGCAGCTAAAGCTAACGAGGTACTGAGCGAGTGCGCCAGAGGGAAAGCAAACAAGAAACCTTACCCAACACACAAGAGGCTTCAGTTATGGAAACGAAGCAGGCATCATCGCCATAAATCCACCGCGGACGAATTTGAGTCTTGTAGTAAGTGTGTTTATTGTCAAAACCAGAAACGGATGTCACAAATGCAAAGTGAGAACGACCCCTGACCGAATCAGATTGAAGACGACTCTCGAGATTCACTAGAGTACGTAATAAGCCTCGAGTCCGAACAACAAGACGGTTCATTAGACAATGGCCAGGGGAAAGGCAGCACACGACTAAACCATATTTACAGCTGAACAAGGCGCTTCCCACCACAGTTTCACTAAATAATTTTGGAAGTTCAAGGTCAAATTATTAAGCCTTCGTGCGATTAATCAAAGGTGAACGCATGGTTATTCAAAAATCAAAGCTTATTGATCATCGCCTTGATTTCTGCTAAGAATAGTCTGGGCATAAAACTGATGCCAAGCAGCGGAGTGCTTGACAGAATTCTAGAAAGTAGTGGCTGGGGCGGGGTTAGCTGACAGAGGTTGCAGAGCAGAAGCCAAACTGGGTTAAGGGAGTGCTACCACTTTTACCAGAGAAAAATATTGAGCAGTAGAAAGAACGAAACAGGCAGGGAGAGAAGCAGATAAGGAATCAAAAAATAATGATAAAACCGACAAACAAGGAAAAATGACGGAAGTGAACATGGAGCGGGGATTAGAGCCATAAAAAGCAGGTGGTTTTATTTCGTTCAAAAATGGCCAAGATACGAATATACAAAATAAAGTGCTCGTACATACTCCGTTTACAACGACGGGCGTTCTTAAACCGTATGACTTCAGGATACGGGGGTAGTCATATGTCTCAAATGGTTGCTTCTACGTCCAGAAGTATGCAAACTACCCTTTACGACATTTTCAAATAACTGGTCTCATTAGCTGATTATATCTGGAGAAATTACCGGTGTTTCTGGCGCACAGCGGGGACCTTCGCGGGTTTCTGTCAACGTCTATTCTCTTTCTCCTTTGTCTCAGCGATAGTCATAAATGGCTGTCGACATTTGCATATGCATTGATGCTTTAATATGGCCCACGACCACACTTCCTCCAAGGAAGATGTTATTGAAATTTCCGAATTGATTTACTGATTGTCACGTCGTTTTGTTGACGCAGATATAACAATTTCTTGTATGTACCTAGGAGTTAGACTTCAGTTTTGTCTGCACTCAGTTTCAGACGACGGTACCATTTCATGAACACGACCAGGAACAGGTCGGGCAGTTATTGCTTCCGTCATCCCAGACCTGCAGATGCAGTTTTCATAAGCCGTCAAGAAGGTCTGAGGGAGAATCTTCCCTATTCGCAGGGGAGTCAACCACCTATTTAGGCAAAATCTTCTGATGTCATATATAACATTTGTTTTCTCGGAGCTCTAGTACAATCTTGTCTGCATACGTTGCATTCTACAAAACAGTTCTAAAACAATTTTTGAAAAAGGAAAATAATCCCATATGACACACTTATAACATGCCCTTTATAACATGTACGTTCGACCTGACCTGGAATACTGTTCGTTTTTAGTTAGCCCCATGCGTGCTGCCGAGCGGGAGAAAATAGAATCCGTTCAATACTTTTTTTACCAAGAGAGTTTTAACCCCTAAGCACCGAATTTTGTCTTACCAAGAACATTGCTGGCTTACAGGCCATGATCTCTTATGGTTTCGTAGATTACAAAAGGGACTATTTTTGCTACTTAAGCTTTTATATTAACGCACCTTTAACCCACTCACTACTTTAAGACTTCATGTTCACCCCCGACGTAACAGTCACCGTGAGGTCTTTTTATTTCTTCCTCCGGCACGTACTGTTAAATATCGTTGGTTTTTTTCTGTAAATGCAATTGCTATTTGGAATAAACTACCCAGGAGTGTGAAAACTCTTCAAAACTATCATTTATTTTAGAGAACTATTACTCTATTTTTGCATTCAGAAATGCTCCCATAAATTTTAGGTGCTGAATCCACTGATCGACTCTACCGTAGCGATGACGTTTGTGGTCTCTGAACAATATGGCCGGTCTCACCAGGGAAAATTTCTTTGACCAACATCGACAGCTGTTCTTCGTCGCTTCTGTTTGGGCAAGCCCCAACTTCATGAAAGGAATTGGCGACTGATAATATCCGATACCGTGCAACCCCTCCCATCTTGACGGTCGAAAGTGCGCAGTCAGCAGTTTTTTTCTGCTGAACCCTCCAAACTATAAAACCACCATCAACGCCGACCCCAACGTCGCTCCAACCTCCTAATGGCAGCCTATGTCCCCCCTCTCCCTCGCCCCCTTGACCCAATGATCACTACACGCCGACCACGCCATCGCACGCCTCGTCATTCGAGTGGCGTGGGAACGATGGATGTTAATTGTTTCTGAATCAGTTGTAAATCATGTAACTTGGCATAGCTTAAACTTCTATGTAACCGTTTTAGCCTAATGAAGAGTTACCGAAAAAAACGTGTTTGCCAAATCGACTTTTCAAATTTATTTTCATTCCTTTTCGACAGGAGTTTTTTCACTGCTGGCCGGATTTGTGTTAAACGCTTACATCACAATGTCCGTAAATTGGCATTAAATAAAATTATTATTATTATTATTTACTATGTAACGTCCCTTGGCAAGAACAGAATTGTTTGAATGATGTAACACTTTTTGACGCGAGGACCTAGGGTGGAGAGGGCGGAGCCGCGTGTCGGTGAAGATGGCCGATGTCCCTTCCTCTCTCTTCCGCCGATCCGTTTCCCCGATCCGCACCGTAACGTGACGCTCGTATCGCTCTCCTCGCTACATCGGCAACTCCCCTCGGCCCCTCCCTGCAGTATCCCCCAGCGCTGCGCTCCCCACCAATTTACTAGCTGGCATGTTGGCATCGCCTATCTACCCAGACAGGTCATTCTACTGATGTAACCCATCCATCCTGTACCATTAACGATTATTATACGCTTTTCCCATGCAATCTCGTAGCATTACACTATATCCCTTACTCGACATGCCTTCTTCTCCTGTGCATGGATGCTTATCAAGAGATGTTGACTGTTCTGTTCAGATCTTCCTCCGTCAGGATCTCCTGTCAACGTTCTCTTACTTTGGTTTGTGCTACCCTTGACGTCCTCGGCCGCTACAACTATATAGGCCGAGTGATGGACCAATATACCCCAATTACCAAGACCACGAAAGAAGCGGCGCGGCAAACCGTAGCACACCTGATTGTTAGTAGGTAGAAGATTTGTTGTGTGAATTATTTTCATTGTTCATTCATGCATACGATCCTCATAAAAACCGTACAAACTTCTCAGTCTTCGGGCTAGAACACGAATTCGTCAGATGAGGCGGCGTTTCTGAAGCACTCTTTCTATCCCTGCACACATATTTTTTCGTTGTCGTCGGGCCAGTTCTGGTGTTGGGAACATGCACGTCCGAGGCAGCGGAGTAAATGACATTTCGCAGCTAACACCACCGAGTCTCCATGGCGGCGTTTTGATCAGGAGTTTGGAAACCTTCCAGTCGCAGGGTCATTTGACGGCTAAGACATAAGTTCTGAGCGGGCAAGTTCTTCAGAACAGCATTTAACTGGCCTGGCGGTTGCTTTCCTTGTAATCTTTTGCGAAATTTCCGTCAGATCCTTGTTTTGGGGTAACATGGCGATGGTCTGCCCAGTTGCCGTCGTCGCAGATGGCCTTGGTCATCAGCACGTCCTTTCGATCTCGCTCCCGAACGAATACGTAGTCCAGAAGCTGCCAACTTCGCAATCGGGAGTGTATCTGTGACTGTCTTCTTCCATGTGGTTTTGGTGAGGAGTAGGTTGTGTTCTGTGCGGGTAAGCAGAAGAAGGGAACCGTTGTCGTTGCAGCCACTGAGTCCATAAGTGCCCAGCATTCCCCTCCAAACAGCGTGATCTGTCTTGACGCGTAGATTAAAGTCATCAAGGACAGCCAGCTCGCTCGCCTACGGCACATTCGCCAGGAGGACGTGCAAATCCCCGTAGAACTCGTTTTCTGTCTCATCGACGCTGTTTATTGGTAGCGGGGGCGTAAGCACTGATGATGGGGTCGAAGTAGTCTCCCCAAATTGTCCGACGCAGTTTAATAAGGCGGTCGTTGGTGCCCTGAGGCAGACAGGACAGTAATCCCGCGATTTCGTTCTGGATGACAAAGGCGATGTCAGCGTCGTGTTAATCTGCGTTTGGGCGGTCGCTCCAAAAGAAGGTGCAGTCAACACCAATTTTTCCATCTGCCCGTATTAGGAGAATCTGGTCTCCCTGACTGCTGGAATAACCACCTTGTAACGAACCAGTTCTCGAAGGACGAGTGTTGTCCTCCGTTGCGGCCGATTGTACATCGGAGTGTTTAAAATGGAGCAAGCACTACAGAATGCCAGAACGACCACACCCACCCTGAGGGTGGGACGGAGTGTGGAGACAGTTGTGATATCCAAGCATTTGTCTGGGATGTCTTCTTTAGTCACTTCCATCCGGGGGGTGTAAGCACTGTCAAATACGGCTAAAAAAACATCCCAGGCGGCTGCCGAACTCCAATGATGACCATAAGTTTTTTCCAGTGAGAGAGTGACTAAAGGTAGCCTGGGCCACCTACGGGATTGCACGTCTACCACTCGTAGGAATTCGGAGGTGAAAAAGGAGAGAAATGAGGAGGGGGGAGGAAAGGCGAGGCACTGGAAGTAGAATTGGCAGATTTGAGGATGGATAGAACACCCGAGGCCTTCATTTGTTTTAGGCCACCTGTCGGGGTGGTCATCAGGGTTTGGCCGTTAGGCAAAATCCGACTTCGGGAAGCCACAGATGAGGGTCCGCTGCCAGTTGTGGACTGTAAGTAGCGGTCACCACTTACACCTACTTGCATCGCCTGTAAAATAGTGGAACGCATTATCAAAAGACACTTGATGAAATACCTGGAACAGAACAAAATATTGTGTGATGCCCAACATGGCTTTCGTCCAGAGCGCTCCTGCCTAACTAGTGTTATTTACTCGCACGAGAAATGGACACGAGCTACCGATAGGGGTTTTCCAGTGGATGCCGTATTTTTTGACTTCAAGAAGGCCTTTGACAGTGTCCCACACAGGCGTCTTCTACAGAAGATCTTCGGTATAGGAATTCAAGGAAGAATGTTCAAATAGATCAGAAGTTTTCTGTCCTTCAGAGTACAAAGAATCGTCGTTGGCAACTCTACGTCGGGATGGGCAAAGGT